AACAAATAAAGAAATTAAATAAAAGACACTAAATAATATTAAATATTAAATAAATAACATTAAATATTAAATAAATATTAAATAAATAATATTAAAGACACTAAATAATATTAAATATTAAATAAATAACATTAAATATTAAATAAATATTAAATAAATAATATTAAATATTGAATAAATAATATTAAATATTAAATAAATAATATTAAATATTAAATAAAGAATATTAAATATTAAATAAAGAATATTAAATATTAAATAAAGAATATTAAATATTAAATAAATAATGACACTCAAATAAGTAACAACATTAAATTATCCACAGTATAGTTAAAAACAATAAATAATAACTGCATAATAACTCCTGTATTTTAAGTCCTGATGGAAACACACACAAATAATTGAAAAACAGAGAAGGGGTAAAAAGAAGGCACCATGCTTAAATTACAAGAATAGGCTCTAAAATAGCTCTGTTCTCAGTATTTTCCCCAAGACCAGCAGTGGGGACTCAAATATCAGCTCCATTTGGGTACGGGAGCCCTTTTCTCTTGTCCTTACTTGAATAGAATTAGATTTGTTAAAAGAAAAGAGAACATTTTCTCCATTGTGAGTCCATTCTTAAGCTGTAACTGCCAACTTCTTAAGAAAGCACAAAACGTTCAGCTCCTCTCTTCAAGCTTCCCCTTGAATGCATCTGAAACAGTCTGTCTGGGGTTTTCATTTGTAAATGAGATTTTAGCATTTTGGAGGAGCATTTTAACTTTGCAGTGTCTGGGTTTATCCATGTTTTATGCCTTTTATGAGAACTGCCTTGAACGGTGTTGTCCTTTTATGACAGTCTCGTCTGAGTCAGAGGCTGAGAGGCAGGCCAGGCGGACTGTAAGCCTGAGGTGCTGGCAGGCACACAGACACCTGAGGCAGCTCAAGGAGCAATGAGACTGAGCAGGTGGGGGATGACTCATAGGGGTCAGATTCTGGCAGGGTGCCTCACCCAAGAGCAAGTCAACAGCTATAGAGGGCAGAGCAGAAGCAGTCAGCTTTTCTCCTTGAGAAGAAAATGCTCTGACTGAAGCTATGCCCATAACTAGGGCTGCGCACGAGCAGCTTCTAGCCCCCTGCTCCTCCATTGTAAATAACAGAATAAGAACAAAATAACCGAGTTGGAAGGAACTGTGGAGGTCTTCTAGTCCAGGGGTCTCCAATCTTGGCAACTTTACGACTTGTGGACTTCTACTCCCAGAATTCTCAGCCAGCGCATGCTGTTCTAGTCCAACTCAGGCAGCCCTATACCATTTCAGACAAATGGTTGTCCAATCTCTTCTTCAAAATCTCCAGTGTTGGAGCACACACAACTTTTTGGAGATACGTAAGTCATTCTATTGATTGTTCTGTCAGGAAATTTCTCCTTTGTTTTAGGTTGCTTCTCTCCTTGATTAGTTTCCATCCATAGCTTCTTGCCGTTTTCTGGTGGTTTGGAGAATAGGTTGAAGAATAGTTCCTCTTTATGGCAACCCCTTGGATATTGGAACACTGCTATCATGTCACTCCTAGTCTTTCTTTTAATTAAACTAGACATATCCAATCCCAACAACCATTCTTTATATGTTTTGGTCTCCAGTCCCCTAATCATGTTTGTTGCTCTTCTCTGTATTCTTTCCAGACTCTCAACATATTTTTTACATTCTGGCGACCAAAATCAGATGCAGTATTCCAGGTGTAGTCTTACCTTATCCTACTTCAGACCCATGTTCTTGTGGCAGCCTTCTTCAAGTCCCCCTTGCTCCATTGCCTGCCTGTTCAGACCTTCAATTTAACTCTTAGACCAGTTTGTAGAACTGACTCATTCTAGATATTTGAACTGCTTTGAACTACTTTCATGTTTCTGCCTCTGAATAGTTCCTGCTATCAGTTGAGAATTAGGCATGTTAAGGGAGCTAAAAACTCTCTGCATTTCCTAGGCCTTAATGGCTCTCTCTCTAAACACATACCTTGTCAAAATATTTACAACAGAGCAATAAAGGTTCCCAAACTTGTCATTATCTTGCTTTGCCTCTGCATCCACTTACATAGGACACCTTAGGCTAGTCTAGAAATACATTAAAAGACATAATCTTCATTGACTGATGTGAATTGCAGTGAGATCCATATGGAGGCAGTAGGTTGGAAGCACTTGTAATAAATCAATGGTGTATTTTTAATAAGGTAATTTGACTGGCCCCATTCTTCTTGCTTGGGATCAGGAATCATTTCTCTTTTTATTTTAGTATGCTGCTTGGGGGGGGGGTGTTCCATTTTGCTATCAAGTTAGGAATTAGAAGAGTTTTTTGCCAATTTGATACCATCCAAGTATTGGGCCACTTTCATCATTCCCAAACAACTTTTCAGATTGAGAGGTTCATGGGTTCAAAAGGGGGTTAAAAGAAGTGAATTCTGTTAATGCTGAGCAGCTCTCCCTCAACAGAGGGGCTGGAATAAGACATCACCTATATCCAGTCTATAACGCAGCCCTTGCAGTAGGTTCCAAGATTTCACTTCCATTTACACTTTGACACAGGTGACCCTGAAGGGAAGAGTGTGCTAACAACCAGATGACTGCAAAGAAATACAATCCTCCCATCTCTCCCCATCCACCTGATCAGAACCTATCCTTCCATCCCCCCCCCAACATCCAATCTCAACTGTCAGTATATATCCTTCCATTCCCCCCATGACCACCAATAACAACTGATGAAGTTCCTTGGATGAGAAATGAAATGTTTTGTTCTTTATCCTCAAGGAAAACTGTCCAGTTGCTTTTTTGGGAGGTGGGGGAAAAGCATCCCCAAACTGGGTTCATCTCAGCACAGACCCATCCTGGTGAAGGCTGCCCATCTAGAACAGATTTAAACTCGTTCCTCATACTGGTGACCAGGAATCCATGAATACCACATTGGCGCATCCACTTTTTCAAAGGTCTACAAAGATGTCCATTTAATTATCCTAAACAATTGTATTTTGCTGATAGTGTATTATATCCAAAACCTTTTAGGAAATTCCTTGAAATAGGAATCTTGTTGTATTCCATTTTATTTTTGTGTTTATGTCTCCCAACAAATCTTTGCATATTTCCATACATATGGGATTCCTCCTCCAGGAATTGCATATTTTGCTTTGATAAGTTTTCAAGATCTGCAGAATGTTCGCACCTCCTTAAACCTCCTACTAAATAGATCTCCAAGTATAGTAGTTATTGCCACTAAGCATCTATGCAAAAAAAGCTGTGCAACTATGAAAACAGGAAGGTTAGAGACCACTTTGATTAATAAAGTTAGAATTTTATTTCCTTACATTTTTTGACATCACAAATTGTGGAAATTTATTACACTGGAAAAAGTTCTTGAAACAAAAGATTCAATTTACACTGTAATGAAAAATAAGATTAGTATGAGAATGAATCCAAGACTTTTCATATTTACAAATGGGCGTGCACAAGCAATGCAGAGTTGTTTTTATAGAACTAATTTTCAACTCATTGATCACTATGATCTAGTAGTCTCCAGAGCCTTTTAATTGTTTTTAGGACCCAGTGGTTAAGGGATGGAGCTGAGCCTGAAGGAAAAAGTTCTACTTGGATCTGTGTATTTTTCTCTGAACTGTAAATCACAACTGGGCTTTACCAATATCCATGTTGATAATGGTAGATTATGACAGACATTGATTTATAGCTCTTATTCATAATGATACTAAATTTATAGTGGGAGAAAGTGCTACTTGGGTACAATTTTAATTTTGATCCCTATATACAGTAATATGTCTTTAAGGGATCAATGTTCCATGAAAAAGTAGATTCCAAAAAGAAATCTACTTTAGGTGCCTTTTTTCAGTCTATGACTTACAAAAACAATTGGCTCAGAAATTCCCAAAGCAATCCATCTGACGGACTATCAATTTGATCTCAGGACCTAACAGCCAGAAAGTTGGATATAAAAGCTCAACTCCCAGAATACTACTTCAGGCCAAAATGAACCCATGGTGATACATAATGAATTATAATTAAATAAATTATGCTTGGTTTGAATTTTGCCCCGTTACTGATGAGCAAGAGTTATTATCAATCGGTGATGGGGCAGATATCGTGAGAAAGGGGACTTAATTAAGATGCTAAGACACAAATGGGAGATTGCGATTCAACACATTTTTGTCCAGGTTTTTTTAACCTAGTTATTTCATTCTGACTCCTTTGTGAAGAGTGCCTTATACGGAACATGACCAGTCCTTTTAATGAATACATCCCTCTATACCCACAGCAGTGAAGATCCAATGGTAAATCATTTAGCACCATCTCATCTTCTTCAAATCAGAGGAGGAGAAACAACGGAAAGGAAGAGGTCTAAAAGAATGTGTTTTTTAAAAAAATATAGCAGAGCATCCCAGACATTTAGCAAGTATCTCAGTCTGTTACACCCATAAGTCTAGGAGAGGCCATCATTCCCAGAGATCTGAAAGGCCTGTTGATTCCTGGGTACCAAGATGCAAATCTTCTGTTGACATGGGAGGAAATAAAGTCTATCGAAAAGTGCATTTCAAGTCAAAAATACACAACATAAACTATAAATAGATATATTTGCTTTGGGGAGAGGGAAGAAAAGTTAATTTCCTACATATAACACAAAGATGCTTGTTTCAGTAGCCTCTGCATCCAATGTGCTGGCACAAGAGGAAATACGGATGAGATGGGCCCTGATTTGTGGGGATGAACCCATACTAAGAAAGTGGATTGTCCCATTTTTCATGATGAGGTGACCTCTGAACTTTGCCCATCAGCACACAGGAAGTGGAGAAGGTGCTCTTACAGTGCTCCGTCGATGTCAAGAAACCTGGGGGAAGAAACCATAGAGATTGGATACTTATATATCGTAACTGGGACTGAGGAAATGATACCAAAACTGAGAATGATTTTCAAACCTGAAAATGTTTTCAGCACTTTAAGTTGAAAAAAAAGATATCCTGATCTCCATCAATATTTTCTGCTAAGCAAGCACATCACATAAATGTAAAAGATCAGTCTTTCAACCTGTCCAATTTTAGCTCAAAGGTTTATTTGGTTGACCAAGGTTCTGTTATCCCAGGACCAGCAAAATATACCAAAATGATGTTGGCAATAAATGTGTTACAACAGAAAACTACTTCTGACTTCCTGTTGCATTCCTTGCTGGTTTTTACTCCTCTGGTGCCTTGCAAAGGCTAACAGGTCCACCAGAAACATAAAACATCTTTTGCTTATGAATCTCAGTAGAGCAGCATTACATTGAATCTAGACAGATAAATGTTGCTTGGTCCTACCCTGCCTTTAAAATTTTATTGGGTTTTTCTTCTTTGTCCACTTTTATCCATGGTCAAAGTTTTACCAAACTTGTTCTTCAAAGACTTATCTGATCCATCTTTATATTTTTTGGATCTCAGTCTTTCTTAAGGGAATTGTGAGGCTTCCTAACACGAAAGTGAAAGACTAATAGGAAGATTTACAACAAGCAAAATGTCCTATGCCAGTACATCTCATATGTTATGAATTGGGGTGATATGAAATGCTTTTCACTGTATGATTACTTAGTGCATTTAAAATGTGTTCTATGTGATAATAATCAGTGGAAAAAAATAGGACATATTAGTTATACGTATGTGGTCACTGTCCCTGTCATCTAAAGATGCTCTTATTCTGACCCTCTCACTGTTAGAAATAACGATGAAAATAAGGCACCTTAATTTGAATATGTAAGCAAAAATGCCATGCAGGATAGATACACTGTGTAAAACAGAGAAAACTTCCTCTCTAATTTACTTTCTAGAGAGAAAAATTCATACCTGAGGGCATGACATGTATAACATCCTTGTCTCTAATCTGACAGCTTATGAAAGGTATACTATTTATACCAGTGTTTCTTAACTGTGGCAACTTGAAGTCCAGACATCTTCAAGTTGCCAAGTTTGAGAAATACTGTTCTTACACAATTCTGAAGCTGGGCTCTTGGTGCATTAAGTTTCTTCTGGATTTAATATACCTACTTTGCACTGACCCCCCATCTCACCAAGGTCCCAATCACCATATCCTCATTTCAGTGTGTCTAATGAAGCCTGGCTCTGCCTCTAGACACCTGGGAGGGCAGCAAAAGAAAAAAAAAGTTTAAGAGTGGAAAAAGTATAGGTTGTCCCCAGGAGGAAAAAGCATTATTGGCCAAGAGATATAGCACAGATGCATAACAGAAGTGGAACAGTGTAATAGCAATAGCACTTAGACTTATACACTGCTTCACAGTGCTTTATAGCTCTCCCTAAGTGATTTACAGAGTCAGCATATTTCCCCCAACAATCTGGGTCCTTGTCTTACCAACCTTTGAAGGATGGAAGGCTGAGTCAACCTTGAGCCTGGTGAGATTTGAACTGCCAAATTGCAGGCAGCTGGCAGTTAGCAGAAGAAGCCTGCAGTACTGCACTCTCACCACTGTGCCACCATGGCTGATCTTATAATTATAGGCCCAGTGCCCCACAATAGATGCTGAAGCTTGATAGCCATTCTAATATGAAACCCTACTTCAAAAATGGACAAAAGGGGAGGAATTCAGATTCCTGTCCATAAATTTGAGAAAACGTTGTTTATGAAAGAAATGGAGTATAAAAGAACATATACTCAGAAAGGAAAGGGGCAGAATAGGAATACACTTATTCCATGTTTACCTAATTAGCTTGCAGTTCTCTGTCTAAGGCTCGCCAAAGGCACTCCCCTGTCAAGGGATGGATTATACAAGTTGGAATTACAATGCTTTAAAATTTTCCTGTCTACCTTCTCTTTGGGACTGGAGAACATATGAGCTGGGAGGACTACAATGGGAATGATAATAGTTCTCAGAGATGTCATTAATTTCTTAATTTCTTTTTTCTCAATAGATTTTAGACTATGTTTGTTAAAAATCCATACCGTGTACAGGTGTCTAGAGGCAGAGCCAGGCTTCATTA